CAAAAGAGTAAAAAAGCAAAACGCCTGGTTGCCCCTTTATACCGTTGATCTTCCCATTCTGCCCCCTCATTCTTTTTCGCGCCATGTCCTCTCTTTCAAACCACTACTCCTCCCTCCTAAAACTCTGCTCTAACCCCAATAACCAAACCCAACTCAAAAAACTCCATTGCCTCATCCTCAAATCCTTCTATTTACTCCAAGACACTTTTCTATTGAACAATCTCATTTCTTCCTACTCTAATTCCAATCTCCTCAAATATGCCCGCAACGTGTTCGATCAAATTCCCCATCCAAACCTCTTCTCTTACAATGCCATCCTCTCCGCCTACTCCAAGTCTGGCGGTCTCTCTCAGATGAAGCGAATCTTTGATTTGATGCCATCAAAGGACGGCATCTCTTGGAACGCTGTTATCTCGGGCTATGCCGCCTACAACTCTCCGCATAATGCGGTCCAAACCTACCGCCTTATGTTGAGGAATGGAAACGTGGGTCCCAACCGTATCACTTTCTCGACCATGTTGATCCTCTCGTCTGCTCGGTGCTCTCCTGCCTTTGGCCGCCAGGTCCACTGCCAGATTATCAAGTACGGGTTTCAGTCACACATGTTCGTGGGTAGCCCTTTGGTGGATATGTACTCGAAAGCGTCGCTCATTGACGATGCAAAGAAGGTTTTCGATGGGATAGAAGAGAAGAATGTTGTTGTTCACAATACTATGTTGACGGGTTTTCTGAGATGCGGCATGGTTGAGGACTCGAGGAGGTTGTTTGAAGAAATGAGGGAACGGGATTCGATTTCTTGGACCACGATGGTTACTGGTCTTACCCAGAATGGGCTAGAAGCGCAAGCACTGGGATTTTTTAAAGAGATGAGAGAGGCTGGAGTTAGTATCGATCAGTACACTTTTGGGAGCGTGTTAACTGCTTGTGGTGGGATTTCGGCATTGAAAGAGGGAAAACAGATACATGCATATATAATTAGGACATGTTATGAAGGAAATATTTTTGTGGGAAGTGCTCTCGTTGATATGTACTCAAAATGTAGGAGTATAAAATCTGCAGAATTTGTGTTTAGGAAAATGTCGTTCAAGAATATTGTGTCATGGACGGCGATGATCGTTGGTTATGGGCAGAATGGATTCAGTGAAGAAGCAATGAGAGCTTTTATCGAGATGGAGAGGGATGGAACTGAGCCAGATGATTATACTCTCGGGAGTGTGATCAGTTCTTGTGCAAATATAGCAAGTCTCGAAGAGGGGGCACAGTTTCACTGCAGGGCAATAGTTTCAGGCCTGCTTTCATATCTTACAGTGTCAAATGCAATTGTAACCTTATATGGTAAGTGTGGATGCATCGAGGAATCTCATCAGTTGTTTGATGAGATGAAAATCAAAGACCAAGTCTCATGGACCGCGCTAGTTTCAGGGTACGCCCAGTTTGGTAAAGCCAAAGAAACAATTGAATTATTTGAAATGATGCTGGCAAAAGGAGTAAAGCCTGATGGAGTAACATTCATCGGTGTTCTGTCTGCTTGTAGTAGGGCCGGGCTAGTAGAAAAGGGAAAAAACTATTTCGATTCTATGATAAATGATCATAAGATTGTTCCTTTAGCTGATCATTATACTTGTATGATCGATGTTTTTGGGCGAGCTGGAAGATTACAAGAAGCCAAGGATTTTATAAATCAAATGCCTTGTAGCCCTGATGCAATCGGTTGGGCTACGCTCTTGAGTTCTTGTAGAGTTCATAATGATATAGATATTGGTAAATGGGCTGCTGAGTCTCTTCTTGAGCTTGAACCCGAGAATCCAGCGAGCTACGTATTGCTATCAAGTATGTATGCAGCTCGACAAAATTGGGATGAGGTAGCGAAATTGAGAAAGCGAATGAGAGAGAAGGGAGTAAGAAAGGAGCCAGGATGTAGTTGGATCAAGTACAAGAACAAAGTTCACATTTTCTCAGCAGATGATCAAACCCATCCTGATTCTGACAAGATTTATGCTGAACTAGAGAGACTCAGTGATAAGATGGAGGGATTAGGGTACAAGCCTGATACGACTTTAATTCTTCATGACGTAGCTGAGGCTGAGAAGAGGCAAATGCTTAGTCATCATAGCGAGAAGCTTGCAATTGCCTTTGGATTGCTTTATATACCAGAAGGATTGCCGATAAGAGTGGTTAAAAATTTAAGGGTTTGTGGGGATTGTCACAATTCTTTCAAATTTATTTCGAAGATAGTTGGCCGAGAAATTCTTGTTCGAGATGCCGTGCGATTTCATAAGTTTAGTGCGGGAGTTTGTTCTTGTGGAGATTTCTGGTGATTGAGAATCTCTTCTGAGGGTCGCCAGTATTTTCCAGGACAAACTTAAATTCTTTGATGCGATAATGGATCTTTATAATTTGCTCGATCTTGTTCTAACTCAGAGGTACTTTTCTTTCCTCTTCCTTGTTACTGTGTACCCAGATATGTATACCTTGAATTTTGCTCGATACTCATTCTACACAGTGTAGTTGCAACCTGGTTCTGTGATTAAATGTTTTACAGAGAAAGTTTCTTCGTTCTGTCTTTAATTCTAAGATACTAGCTAATATATTAATCTATTGCTAAGTCTTTCATGTTGTGAAGCTGAAATGTTTTGTTTTTTATTTACATTTGATGTTTGAACCATTACTTTAGTAATTGAAAGAAAATTGTGTGGTAAATTTCAGACATATCTGTAATGCTTTTACTGTTAGTGAATTATTTCAGTTAAGATAATTGTCTACAGTTGGCTGAAACATCTTTTTGTTGATCTGAAACCAATGTTTTTTGGATACTTTCTGGATAATTAGAGAAAGAAATAAGAGGAAAAGAAAGTTTCTCGAAACTCATATAGAAAGTTGATGAGAGGTTGACTAAAAGATGTTGCAGGTCTAGGAAAAGAAAGTATACCAATCAATAATAACAATGTAATTCCCAAAGATAAGTCAATGTTGATTTCCTCAAGAAGAGAAGTTTTAAAGCAGTATATAGTATCATACTAATTGAATATGAAAACCCTAATTGTATTATGAAGTTTCTTGAGCTTATATAGGCCCCTACAAAACACAACTTACAAATAAGTCCTTATATATTACTAATATGTCAACACTCCTCAAGATGGGTGAAAGATATCCACTAAGCCCATCTTGTCACATCCTCTAACCATATCTACTGAGCTAAGTCCCTTAGTCAGTGAGCTTATATAGGCCCCTACAAAACACAACTTACAAATAAGTCCTTATATATTACTAATATGTCAACAATACTGAATGAAAATGAGAATGGTTCCTATTTACTAACATTCTAACACCCTGCTGATGTTCTAACAAGCATCTCAAAAGCACTCCACAAACAACATGCAAACTTCAACGACACCAAACTCAACTTCAAGATTTTGATTCTTCATGGCTTGAACCATCACTCTGCAGAGAGAAAAAGCAACCAGCAAGCATTAGGAAATTAGAAGTTACTGGCTTGATAAATAATCTAAAAATATAAATAAGGACTTAAGGTAAAGTGTTCATTTAAATATTTAGGTAGAGTCAATTTATCTGATGTTTTTCCCAAGGAAATGCTCATCCAGGATAGAGGTAGAATTGGGAGGGAAATAACGTTCAGTAAAATGGAAACTTTTCTTTTAGGAAATAAGAGGGAATTTTTTTTACCAGGACATCCACAGAAGTAAATGGCAGAACATGATATATTATTTAATATTAACCAAATGCCCATTTTATGTCATGATGATCAACTCTTTTAACCTTTCCATCTGATGAATGGAATATACATAGTGTGTCAGCCTAGAAACACTTATCTGCATACTTTAACATGTATATATGGTTCGTGTAGTTCCATAGATCGTTATAAGTAGAAGATATGTGACATTGTTATTGTTGAATATGCATGCAATTCAATTCCCAAAAGACCAAGGATCATGTCGAGCTAGGGCAGATGGCTGTATTTTCCTTATTGGCTTCAATATAACTCCGCGCAACTACAACTCTTCAATAACCATGCAAGGAATTGGCTTCAGAAGTATTCTATTGTTCCATATTTACCCCCCTTTTATATTGGCAGCCTTATATAATCATAATAAATATCAGGAAAAGTATGGTTTGTACCTGTATCCGTCGGCAAATATCCAAAACTTCAGCAATAGGTGCCCAATCCCCAAAATTCCTTTCAACAAACTGGTATGCAATGCCTCTTTTCCCATTTCCAATTATAAATAGGCCCCCTTTAATTTCACCTTCGCCCCGAAAGTTCCGCTCTAATCCAATTGCCTTTGCTCGCTTATAGTTCGCAATAGCACGAGAATTAAGAAGGAACCCAGTAATAAACTTGTCCTTGAGCAAGACTCCACCCCCAAGAGCTTTGAAGAAATCCTTTCCTCGATCAAGAATCACAATCCCTCCCCAATATCGTGGCCAAAATTCTTTAATCTGAATCGTCAGAACAAACATCTCTTATTTTCAAGAAACTACAAAACAAGAGCATGAAGTCATCTAGTAGATATCACCTCAGATTCAATTTTCTCATGCAAGGCTGCGACAAGTTGAACCCCCATCGCGTCAAATATTGGTTTTCTTGAATAGAGTTGATGTGCCTCTGCTCTACACATGATACACCTGTACCAAAAAAAGTTAAATACACAGAGAAACTTGTTGATAACATGGAAATAATAAGGTTAAATTTCAGATAGAACTCTTGTGGTGTGCTGTTTTGAACCTATCACCCCTCTAGTTCTATTTTATAGACCCCTTGAGCGAATACTTTTTACTCTTTTACCCTCAGAAAAAGAGAAAATTGTTTTTTAATGACAAATAGACCCCCTACAGTAAACTTGCAAATAAAAATTTCACTTGAGGGGTCTATTTGCAAAAATAAAACTAGAGGGTAGTAATCCGCAACTAACCGACATAATAATATTAGCTATGAATTTCCAGTATCAGTTACCCAGGTCGTCGAATACATAATATGATAGCTGGTTTATCATGCCATAGCTCTGAAGCCTTCATAGGTGGAGCTTCTGTAGTTAGCAACCGTTGCATGCCAACTTTATACTCTGGAGTGAGCTTTTGGATCGATATGTTCTCTATCAAAGAATACGGAGCTACATCATCTACTACTGGCGGTGGTTGAATACAACCGCATAGCCTAGCATCAGCTGGCTCGCAGGCAACAATTCCCTTGAAGACATAACCGTCATTGAGCTTAAAGTCTATTGCAGATTGCTCTATGGACGGTTCAAAAACTGAACTTCCCCTGTCGGAAGTCCTGACGTTTAGCTGTCTCTTTGTACTGCTGCTTATACTGTAAGGACTCATGCTTCTTTCCCTTGCAGGTGTAAGATAAGGAGGCATTGAAATTCTACAAGCGCTTGTTCTGTCGATAAAACGTGCAATATGGCCTCTCTTCATACCGAACTGGGAAGAAAGGACCGCAATGTTTGTATTCAGAAGCTCAACCAATGATTTCTCAGATGCCTCTAGCCGATCAGCGTAAATCATCAAGGATCGATCGTGCAGGTATGATCTGATCTCTAGTGCATCCTACACATAAACCATAATAATAAGTTGATTTATCTTTGTAAAATTGAGACTTTTCTATAGTTTCAACGAGATTAAATTATTGAACTTCCTAGTAATATATTCCAGTTCAGAAAGTGATAATCAACTAAAAATAAATTAAATCTAAGAAAAGGATGAAACCTGTCAATGTTATCACTTGTCAGCTAGAATAAAGGGGAAATTTGCAAGGCATGTCAGAATCTCATAGTGAAGAAAAAGGTTAATTTCACAAAACCCCTTGAACTTTAGGGTTTTTTTCACATAACCCCCATGAACTTCGTTTATTTCACATAACACCCTTGATCTTTGGGTGTCCCACAAACCCCTGAACTTTGACCTTTTCTCACTAGAACTCCCAGCATGTAATTTACAGATAAGTAAAAATTCCTTGAGAGAAAAAACCCTAAAATTTAGGGGAGGGGTTATGTTCCTAAAAATGACAAATGAAAAAATTTGAAATTTTTCTCTAAAGAAAATTTTACTTGTTGTAAATTGTAAGTAGGGGGGTCAGGTGAGAAAAGGACAAAGTTGAAGGGGGTTTTGTGAGACTTCTCAAAGTTGAGGGGGTTAAGTGAGATAAACAAAGTTCAGATGGATTATGTGAAACACCCCAAAGTTTAGGGGGGTTATATGAAATTAACCCTAAAGAAAACTCATCTCTTTAGAGGCTATGTGAGTAAATTGTACTTTGATATTGTTACTTAGCTGTGTACTCTAAATATTAACTTCTATCCTGCTCAGGGCCGGCCCTGGGGTAAGCCCACCAAGCCCCGGGGCTGGGGCAACCCAGGGCTGGGGGGAAACCATCGCGATTACATCCTTCACCCCTCAAACCGTAATAATTTTCGAAGTGGACTTTGTAAGAGGACTTTTATGCAAAAATTATTAGGGGTTCTATTAGTAAAAACTCTTATTAATACCCAAAGCCCTACCCAACTCCTCCTTTATTTCCGTCAGCCTCCTCTCCTCCTTCTCGTCTCTGTTCCGCCACTCACAAAAAAAAGAAAAAAAAACGGAGAGAATCTAAATTGGACGGAGACACCGCTCTATTCTGCCGTCTCTGTTCTATCAGCCTCCAACTCCTCCTTCCCGTCTCTACTCCCATCCTTCGAACCACCTCGCTGACTCCTCCTCCGACAGTCCGATCCAGTCACCCAAAATACGGAGAGAATTTGAATCGATTTATCGACACCGACGGCCGATCGGTCCATCAAAGAAACACAATCAGTTAATTTTTTTAAATAAATAATTTTAGGGTTTTTTTGGACGGAAATTTGGGGTTTTGATGTTTTATAATGAAATTAAGATTTCTAATTTTGAATCTTAGCTGAATATTAGTTGTTGAATTAGGGGTTATGATGTTTGGATGGTTTCGTCTAGGTTTTTGTTTTGAAACTGGAAATTAGATTTGATTTAGCTATTTGGGTGGCACAGTTATGCCTTCTGACTAGTTTCTCACAGTCTCTATAAGTTTAAAAGAATTTTATCAAAGTTGAAAGATAGAAAGAGGAAATAATATTTACTTGTTAAAAAGTTCATCTCCCTTCTAGTCATCTAAAACTCGAAAATCCTAATGGACGAAAATCTGATATATTTCTATTTGGTTTTAATTATAATTTCAATTTAACTTTGATTTGATGACATTCATATTATTGGATTGCTATCTAGATTAATTATTTGATTGTTTTAATAATAATGATATTGCTAAGTCTTCGTTCCGGCATCAGTTTAGTTGATTGTTGTGATTTCATATATGTTATCTTCGCACTACCATGTCACAAGATTGATTGAATGGATGGCAATGATATCAATTGAAAATGAATACTTCGAGAAACTCGAGTATGATGACTTAATTGAAGAATTCACTTCAAAAAATCCAAGGAGAAGTGTTTTTTTTTGAATTAAATTGTAGCACAAATGTAATTTTTTCTTATATGAATATTGATTTTGCAAGAAAATATTATCAGTTTGAGCCCAATATAGAACGTTAAATGGTATTATATGTATGCATTTTTATCGTTGTTGTTCGTACCAAATTTTTAATATATGGGGCAACCAAAATTGGATTGGGTTAGGGCAACCCAAACCTCGAGGCCGGTCCTGATCCTGCTGAGTAACAAAAGTAAGTAACCAGCTTCCTCTCTCATCTTTTAAGCAATTCCATCGATCACTGGTCAGTTTAACTTCTCTGACATTTGTTTTGTACTTTATTGAGGAATTCATGTTTGACTTGCTTCTTCATTTAAAATTAATCCCTATGTCCTTTAATGTTGACATTGTTATGGCTGATGTCTTCTTTTTAGGATTAGTTGCATGTAGACCCTCTTAAGTATCACATTTTGAAACTTGTTACCCCGATTTCGGCAGATAGCCTTATTGGTGAAAATTTTCTGGCTCTTTTACCGGGGTGAAATTTCGGTAGATATTAATTACGCTTGGGTGAAAGTAGTGAGTCCATATGAGGATATAAGGGTCAACAAGAAATTCATCCATGGGGTCTATCTGCCGAAAATCAAATGACAAAGGTCATAAGTTTCGAAGTGTGGTACTATAGAGGGTCAGCCTACGTTTCATGACCACCCTTTGTCAATTTTATGATGGCCCTTTGGCATCAACATCTAATCTGGCTATGTTTATCTTGCACGCCAGGCCCACCTAGCTATCAATTGCTATCAGCATTCAACAGCTTGTTTCATATCCTGTCACTAACTATGTACTTAGAGCTTAAATGCAAATTGTGTAGGGTTAACACCTTATGAACTAGTCAATACCTCATTTACCCCATCCTGCTTCAAGTGTAATCAACACTTCTTTTTCTAACTGATACGTTGACCTTCCTATAATTATTATTGATGCATTCCATCCTTCAGGATATTGTCCTTGACATAAGAGAAGCTTAAAATAAAGCTGGTTACAATAGTAAAAAAGAACTCATGGGTAAATGGAGAGAGGGTTTGACAAAGATACAATATGAAGCGCTTGTCATCCTAACTTATGGATATATCTTTGTCTGATTCGTGCAGTACGATTGAAGGGTTGCAAAATGTTTGGTAGCCGATGTAGGAGCTTGCCTGAAAACTACAAGCAATAGAATGACTAAATTACAGAAATCTAAAGCAAAATGAACAATATAGTTCCTTTGCTACATCAAAGCTCCTGAGAATTCGCGGGTAAGGATAGACCGTTTTGCAATCTTGGCAGAAAGAGTAGAGACTGAAACTAGTGAATAATTAAAGCCGCTTCTATCATGGCTCTATGAGATCAAACAAATATCAAAAGGAGAGACAAAACAACCGAATTCTGGAAGTCTTGAGAGTAATCGATCCTAATATGAGTATGGAAAGAATAAAATTCTGGTAATCCGTGTAAATAATTTTACATATACCTTCTGCTGCCGTGTCAATTTCATTGAATCCATGTCTTCTGAATTCATCATCTTCACAGTTGGAACATCATCCCAACCTCCTTCCACAAGCTTTGGCACAAGCCCTCTTAAAGCTCCATCTCCGAGAAACTCCTCCATCGAGAAAGATGCCATTCTTTCTCCTTGAAGCAGGAATTCGCCGTTAGGGTTTCGTTAGAGGTTAGGTATCTCATGTAATATCAGAAACTGGCAGGCCTGGAGCTATTGGAACGAAGCTGACAACAGGTATATAGAGTTTAGCAGATAGTGATGACTTATGCTTGAAAACATTTTTTTTTTTGTCTGTTAATTAGAATAGTACACCAAAAACCGGAATCATAAGATAACTGAGTCCTTCAAACTTTTGACATATGTGGCCATTTCATTCAGCCGAATAACCATTTTTTTTTTTAAAGAAACATACACCAAACAAAAAATTTACCAGATTGGTATCAATCACATAGCAGAATCATAAGGAATGGTAAGAGTTTTGAAGAGATGGAGACAACAGGGAAAGAAAATATGTGGGGCACTCAATTACAAAAAAATACGAAAACTATGTTGCGTGATTATATATTTCTTTTACAATTTGGCATTAGATAATTCGCTTATGATGGTGAAAGGCGGCTAAAAAGAAAATCTTTTTTTTTCCATGAAGGAGATAAGAAAAGAAAGGTTTGAGTTACTTTAGGTTTGGAGCAGTTGAGAATTGAGAATGGCAATCCTTTAGAAGTTATGTAGGCCACTTTTGAGCAAGTCAAATTAGTTGTCTGGGGCCTGGCCAATAAATAATAATCTGCACTGGCAGAAATAAGCTTTTCACTGTCATGAGTAGGAACTATTATTCTTATAAATAGTAATAACTAGACTATACTTTTGAAACTACATCACCACAACTACACGTGTGTGATTGTGTAGAAATAGTTTGAATAAGTGAGTTTAGTGAGAATTATCCACATCATATTGGTTCGAAGAGAATTTTGTGGGTGTATCGATAAATTTTTCCCAATACATTGCTAAAATTTTGATATATTAAAAGGAGACAAAAGAGGAAGGAAATATGACTCCATATCTCTAGGGGAGGAGGGGAGAGAGAGGGAGGGAGATCTTGGAAAAACCCATAATTGAGAGTTCTTATTGTCCAAATTCACATTTTGATGGTCAATTGGTATTAACATAAAGCAAAGGATATTCTTCATTCCTGTGAGGTCACCCAAAAAAAAAAAGATCACTTTTCATTTTGTAGAATATGTTTCCACAGATTTCTCCAGATCGATAGGACCAATAAAAGTCTAGTAGATTGGGTCGGCTTCGTGGTTTTCAAGAGCATAACTCTTGATCTAGGAGGAGTTACGGGACGGTCGGTGGAGGAGCCATTAAGGGGCCAGGCCCTTGGATCCCAGTAGCAAATGATAAAAAACTATGATAGATAGGAAGTTGTTGATATTTAATAATTATTGGAGGTAAAATGCAAGAGCATCTATTTTTGAACTTCCTCAAAATTTCTGCTTCATCGATCCCGTATATGGAAGATGATTTTGTGGTTGGTAGAAGTTTAGCAATCAACTTGTATCTAAAATGGATTGTATGGAGTTCAACAGTTCAATTTGTATATCCTTTGGTGTACAAGTTGGTAAAATTGGTATTAGCCTTCTCCGTTGCAACTAGGGCTGAGCATGGTTCGGTCCAAACCGAAAAAACCGACCGAACCGATCCGAACCGACCCGAAAAAATCGGTTTTATGAGTAGGACGGTTCGGGTCGGTTTGAAAACTTTTCAACCTGAACTGACCCGAACCGACCGAATATAGTGCAATACTACTCATTCTGATCTCAAACCCCACCCGACCCGTCCCCAAAGAGTCAAAAACTCAAACGCTAAACTCATTTTCTGAATCATTATGGGTTAAAAACAATATCATTATATCAGTATTTAATGCTTCATAATCTTCTACTTTGTTGATATCCTTTTTTTCTTTAACACAGTTTGTTGTTTGATAAGAAGTTTGATGAAGTTAGAACCGAACAAACCGAACTGAACCGCACCGAACCGACTTGCAACAGCTCGGTTCGGTTTTGAATTTAAGGCGGTTCGGTTCGGTTGTTAAAATTTTGGTAAAAACCGAACCGAACCGACCGTTGCACACCCCTAGTTGCAACAAGCGTTCAAAGAGCATTTTCGGCAATAAAAATTATTAAGAATTTTATTGAAACCCAATGGGAGATGAGTATTTGAGTGATCATTTGGTGCTTTATATTGAAATATTTTGTGGCATGGACGAGAAAGATATCATGAAGCTGTTCAAGAAATGAAAACGGGAATAATATTTGTTAGTGTCGGGTGTAGACACAAATCGTCAGGTGAGCTCCAACTCGAGGCGTGATCAGGCGAGGAGCTCCAGGCGAGGTCGAAGTACAGGCTACAACTCAGGGTCGACGCATCAGCAGGCGAGCTCGAACGGACAAGAGCAGGCGAGGGGCGAGGTCGAGGCTGCCTCCAGGCCGAGCTCAACTGTGCAGGCGAGCTCGAGTCGATCCAGTCGAGCGCAAGCGAGGCGAGCTTTTGGCGAGTCGACATAGGCGAGGGCGGGGACTCTGCAGGCGAACAGCGGGAGAGATCCAGGGAAACTCGAGCGGGCATGATCCAGACGAGCTCGAGCGCTCGTGCTTCAGGCGAGGTCGAGCGTGAGCGTGCTTCAGGCGAGGTTGAGGCGCAAGCGAGCTCCCAGAAGAAGACAAACGACAGCCTGTTACATGCTATCGTCTCGGCCTAGGGCTCCCTTATAAAAAGGAACCCTATTCACGAGAAGAAATGGCTTCTTCTCGTGATTTTCTCCCAGTTCTCTTGGTGGCGGTTTTTCTCAAGCCCGTAGCGGCGATTTCAGAGTTCAACCTTGAGCGAAAATTTGCAGCAGCCAGGTGGCAGCAAATTTATTGAGAAGTTACTGTAGTGAACTTGCTGCAGAGATTTTTCAATTGAAAATCTCGTGCTTAGAAAAAGAGAGAGATTCTCTCTTTGTTCTTTTGATTGAGAGATCTTAGGGTATTTGAGATCTGCTCTTTGCAAGTTTGTATTCTTCTTTAAGTAATAAAGAATTATTGTGTATGGCTCCCGAGTACGTAGGCAAGTTTATCGAACCTCATTATATCTTGGTGTACTTTTCTCTACTACATTTTCTTGTTGTCCTTTAGGGGTTTAACATAGCCCCGGTAATTCCCAACAACTTGTATCAGAGCCTGAAACGATCTAGAGGAAGTCAGATTCAAGTTGGAGCAATGGCCGCAGATGAAGGAAATGTGAGATTAGAGAAGTTTGATGGAACAGATTTTGGATTTTGGAAGATGCAGATAGAGGATTATTTGTACCAAAAGAATCTGTATCAACCCCTTTCAGGGAAGAAGCCAGAGTCTATGAAGGAAGACAAATGGAATCTTCTAGACAGACAAGCCCTCCTAACTCGCAATGTTGCGTTCAACATAGCGAAGGAAAATACCACGACGAGTCTTATGGCAGCACTCGCAAATATGTATGAGAAGCCATCAGCCGCAAATATAGTTTATTTGATGAGGCGATTATTCAATCTGAGAATGGAGGAAGGCGCGTCAGTAGCACAACACCTCAATGAAATCAATACGGTCACAACCCAATTGAGTTCAGTTAAAATTAAGTTTGATGAGGAAGTTCGAGCGTTGATCCTTTTGTTTTCCCTACCAGAAAGCTGGAACGCTACAGTCACGGCTGTGAGTAGCTCATTGGGAAGCAAAAAGTTAAAGTTCGATGACATTCGTGATCTGGTTCTCAGTGAGTAGATCCGACGAAGAGAGTCGGTTAAAGCTACAACCTCTTCATTCTTCAATATTGCATACAAAGTCAAGAGGTAGAAATTCAACCAGAGGGAACGGATGAGACAAATCAAACTACAGGGGTAGATCAAAGGACAGGAGGTCTAAGTCAAGAAATCCAAGTAACAGCTCGAAGACTATCAAGTGTTGGAATTATGGAAAGACCGGGCACTACAAGAATCAGTGCAAGAGTGCACAGAAGGAGAAGTAGGCGAAGGCAGAGGTGAATGTTATTTCCACCTCAGGAGGAGACGACGCATTGATATGCTCTTTGGAGAGCAAGAAAGAGTCTTGGGTGTTAGACTCTGGAGCGTCGTTCCATGCTACTTCTCAGAAAGAATTCTTCGAGAAGTATGTCCCCGGAAATCTTGGATATGTATACCTTGATGATAATCAACTATGTGCTATTGTAGGCAAAGGTGTAGTGAAAATTAAGTTGAACGGGTCAGTATGGGAGCTGAAGGATGTTAGGCATATTCTCGACCTGAGAAAGAACTTAATATCCGTAGGCCAGTTGGCCAGCGAAGGATATACTACGACCTTCCATGAAGATGATTAGAAGATCTCAAAGGACGCAATGACGATTGCCCGAGGCAAGAAGACTGGTACCCTATATATGACAACATGTGCATGCTGTTTGATCTCAGTTGCAGCAGACAATGAGACTTCAAATTTATGGCACCAAAGACTCGATCATATGAGTGAGAAGGGGATGATGATTATGCACACAAAGGGAAAACTCCCAGGTCTAGAATCAGTGGAGATAGACATGTGTGAAGATTGCATACTTAGAAAGCAGAAGAGAGTTAGCTTTCAGACAAGTGGCAGAACCCCAAGCTGAAGCTCGTTCACTCAGATGTGTGGGGACCAACTACCACCTCATCCATTGGTGGTAAACACTACTTTGTGACTTTTATTGATGATCACTCTCGGGAAGTGTGGGTCTACTTTCTGAAGCATAAGTCAAAAGTGTTTGAAGTTTTCAGGAGATGGAAAACTATGATCGAGAATGAGACAGGTCTGAGAATAAAGAAGCTCAGAACCGATAATGGTGGTGAATATGAAGAACCAAATTCAAGAAGTTCTGCTATAAGCACATAATCAGAATGGAGAGAACCGTGCCCGGCACGCCTCAGCATAATAGTATAGCTGAGCGGATGAACAGAACGTTAATAGAGAGAGCCAGAAGCATCTGCATACAATCAGGTCTACCGAAGCAGTTTTGGGCAGAAGCAGTCAACACAGCAGCTTACTTGATCAACCGAGGTCTATCGGTTCCATGGGATCACAGAATACCAGATAAGGTATGGTACGGAAAAGAGGTAAAACTCTCACATCTCAAAGTTTTCGGTTGTGTAGCTTATATGTATATTAGTGATCAAGGCAGGAATAAGCTTGATTCCAAGTCCAAGAAATACACTTTCATCGGCTATGGTGAAGATGAGTTCGCCTACCGTATTTAGGACAGCGAAAATAAGAAAGTGATCCGCAGCAGAGATGTGATATTCAATGAGAATGTGATGTACAATGACATGCACAAGACACATGCCTTTGACTCAGAGGAGAGCGAGTTAACATTTGTAGATGCAGATGATGTCCCAGTTGACCTCTTGAAAGAACCAAATGCAGCATGTCCTCAGCCAGAAGAGCATGTTGAACAGAACGGTGCGCAGGAGCCCGACACACCAGCTCCGATAT